TTCCAACTGAACATCCACAAGCAAAGCCTGAATGGAGTAAACTTGTGCACTGAAACTTTGCACCATAGCTTAAGCAGCACTGATTTCTCAGCAAACAGGCCCTCGCAGTGCAAAGGGTAAAGCTTAGTACAGGCAATCCTCAACTTCCAACGTTGAGTTACAATGTTTCGCACTTACAATTATAAATTGACACCGTTTCAACTTTCTGATGTCAGTTTCAACTTTACAAGGCTTGATCTGATGCCACGCCACACCATGCCAGCAAACAAATTTGCTACATTGCCCGTCTCCCATCTGTCCAAACTTCCTTGGACATTTTCTTTAAGAAAGCAAACAGGACTTCTGAGAAGACTACAGCCAAAAACCTTTCAAAAAGTCCAGCCAAGTCACCTCAAAGAAGTCCTTCTCAATCAGTATTATTGCTATTTACAATATAAATATATTAATGTAGCTACATTACTTGTCCAGAATTGATCGAGTACAAAATTGTGGGTTATTTTTGGTCAAAATAGGGTATCATGCCTTGGTTCAGGAACCACTCCCTCATTTATAACATTATTTCCTATGGGAAAAAATCAGTTCCGAGTTGCAATGTTTCAACTTAAAGACACGGTTCTCAGGAACCAGTTGTGTCATAAGTCTAAGGACTGCCTGTAGACTCCAAAGCAGAGGTATGCAAAATACAGCCCACTGGCCAGATCTGGCCCACCAATGGATTTTTATCTGGCCCATGATGGATCGCTTGGCCTTACCTGATCCAGACACTGGGGGCAGCCTTGGCTGTGGCACGCGCAGCTGGTTGCACAGCCCCTGGGTGTGCAGCAGGGCTGGAGTGGCACAGCAAAACTCCACTGCCCAGCAATCCCAGCTCCTTCCACCTCCTGCTGCCACCATCAGACCTGGCTTTGTTGCCCAGAGACCCCAGCCCATCCATCCCAAACCCACTGCGTGGGTGCCAGACAGAGTGCGCAGGTGGGGTCTTTATGGAAAACGGCCTGGGACCTGCGTGGACAGAGCGCATTCAGCCAGGCAAATGGCATGGGGCCACGGGCAGGCAGAGATCACCATCTGGCAGCGGGATGGGTGGGTGCAGCTGGGATCATGGGGCAGTGACAGCACAGGGCTGGGCCCCAGGGTTGACAATCTGCTGCCTGCACATCCATGATGGGAGCTGACAGAAACGTAGTAGGAGCAGACTGCTGCACTGTCCAGGGCCCCAGTCCCAGCCACCCTTCCCACTGCTCCCTGCCCATCCACAGCCCTATCCCATGTGCTTGGCTCAGCACACCCTGCCCTGGAGCAGTCTCAGTGAAGACCCCAGGATCACAGGGTAGAGTGTAAGGCCAGGCCCTAGGGGACAGCCACTTAGCCAATTTTGGTGAGCTGTTGCAGGCCAAGGTGGAGAAGGGAAAGGCCAGAGGTGCTGACCCAGGCTGTGACAGCTCATCAAAACTCCTTAAGTGGCCCTCTGGTCCAAATAATTGCTCAACCCTGCTCTATTGCCACCAAATCATAAAATATACTTAGAGCCAAAGAAAAGAAATATCTTGGGTTACGAATTCCCACTGATCCTCCAGTATTTAGCTCCTAACAAAAGGAAAAGCAGACAGGCTTTTGTCCACAATAAAGGAGACTGTCTCACATTGGTACATGCCTCTGCCTAAACTAAAAATATTTCTGGCCGACTACTTGAGATCTGCTATAGCAAACTGGGAGGAACAAGTCTTTCATACCTAGTATGGGCTTTTGCCTAAACCAAGGCCCTAGGGTTTTGAATCTCGTTGTGGCATTTTACCTCTCTTCATGCATAGTATAGGATACCTTGGAGGCTAACTCAGGGATGTTTAGATACTAAGCCACTCTGCAGTGCAATGTTCCCTCTAAGGTTCTAATCCATACCAATCAAGACATGAATGGATTAACATAAAAAACCAGGAGAGAAACATCAAGAGACAACAGGTACCTGCTTATGTCTAATCAGATTTGAATAGAAACATTATATTTAACCTATCAGAAATGGAGTATTGCAAGTTTCAAATCCAAGATCTTTTTATAATAGGATATCCAAGAATTAGTAGTAAAATAGTACCTTAACTATTTGAACAAACAGCTTAATATTTCCAGGTCATTCTGTTTATTCACCACCGATGCACATAGTTTTTTCAAATTTTGAGAACAAAAATTCCAAAGTTGTAGTTTTTTTCTTTTTTTAAAAAAACACAAAATTAAGAACTCACTTTTAGCTTTAATTTTTTATTATTATTATTGTTATTATTATGATAACTTTGAAATCCTGATAAGAGTTCTTCAGGGCATGCACAAATATCTATCAGTGATGATGTTTCTGTTTAAACTGAAGTCCGCAGTAGCCACATGTCCCAGTTTTCGTTTCTTTATCCTGTCCAAAAAAAACCCAACAAAACAAAACAATTTTTATAATTTTCTATAAAATGAAATGTGTAGCTAACAAGTTTCTTCTGAAATTAACTAATTTGCATGATTTTGAAATTTATTTCAAGTGCAAGGCTATTCTGAAAAAATAACAAAAATGGCAATATGAAGTTCATACTCAACCTGTAAAACATGCTCAGTTTCCAATGTTTTTATTGTTATTTCTGCTATCTTTTAATTGCCGAACTGGGATCAAAAGTCAAGCTAAGGAATTTCTTTGTTTATATCAACCATCAACCTTAAAAGATATCCCATTACAAACTGGACCTCTGTTCAACCTCATAAAATTACTTCAAAGAGTAACTTTATTAAATTTACACTGGTGCTGCTGACAGGAACTTAGCAAATAATTCTGATAATTCAAAAGAGAAATCAGCACATTCACACTTTGTCCACACTGGGATTTTAGCCAGCAACGACATCTAATACAGCAGTGCTCAAATCCCAGCCTGCGGTGTCACGGCATCCAGCCCACAGGGCTTCCCACTAGTCAGAAAACTTAATGGTGGGAGAGCAGTGACCATTATTACTGACATTATTAAATATTTGTATTTAAGCCAACAGAAAAATTTCTAACAACTTCAACAAGTTTTGGGCCAGAATCATGTTGAGCCATTTAAGACTGTTGCTGAAACACCTTAGACATCTTCCATTTTAAGTGTGCAGCACTCTGCGGCCCTACAGAAATAAGTCTATCATTTAAGAGAATCACTTCTCACCTCATTAAAACAGCACTCAAAAAAAAAAAGAAAAGAAAAAGAAAAGATGATCTTACAAAAAGTAAAATATGCTACAGAATAGCCAAAAGACGTTAAAGTTCATTACCAAATTTATATACACTTTAGGATGTCCCAAAGCTCCTCCACCACCATCGCACGATACCACTCTGCTTTCAACTTCACTCACAGGTTGTTCTGCTATCAAATCGATAGCAAAGCTTGTATTCACCTGCAACAGAAAGTTTCAAAAGTGCACTATAGTATAACACAAAGCAATAATCACCAACTTTACTTTCCTCAAAAAACAATTCTGCATCTTCTCTTTAAAAGTAGCATCAATAATTACTGCACAAATAGCTACAGGTGATGGTATATAGGTTGTGCTTTTAACTTTTTCTTCGTTCTAATGTTCTCATTTGCACAAAACCAGTTAAGTTCCTTGGCTTTAGGAGGAGAGCATTTAAACCGCCTACTGAAATAGAATGGCTCAAAAAAACAAACAAACTCTTTAAAAGTATTCAAGTGCATTGAAGTATGAGCTTGTCTCAAATGCATTAGTTCAACCTCACCTAAATCCACTGTATATATTTCAAATGCTCTCTCTCTTCTCTTTGAGGACATACACCTCTAATTAGACTCTTAATTGCATTTCTAAACAAAAAAAGAAGCAATATCTACCCTCAAACCAGAGTGCATCCACTAATTGCTAAGAATTCAAATCAGCTAAAGGAAAATTCAGCAACAGATAACTCATAAGCCTAGAGGCAATGTGTGCCGGCTGGCAAACTACATTTAAGTTTGATTACGCAGGTCAAACCAGACATATTTTTTTTGGATATTACTTGGAGAATAGTGGCAAGTGGTTCTTACTAACTTTAATACCTGGCCATTGCATTTCATATATTAAAAAGCATGCAATAGGGAAGAACGCTTGAAGTTATAGCAGCAGCTTAAAATGAACTTTTTTATCAATGAAGAATACGCTCATCCCTTTAGAATGCCAACATGAACTGATTTGCCCTTTTCTCAAGTGAGAACTTATTTTCTTTATAAGTCTTTGAACTAATGGTCTTCACCAGAAAGGCCAGAATAGTCTTTTCATATAAAATTACACATACACACACAAGACAACAGGGCAATTCATATTAAAAAGCAGTACTTGCTGTGTGTGTATGTTTGCATATCATAGCAAACATTATACAAAATATACAAATGAGTTTTCATCACTGTGAATCCTCAATGTAAAGCAGGTAAGCAGCGTTCATATGAACTCTGAAGCGCAATAAGCAGTTCACAAAGCTCTGCTATACAAATCTTGAAGAAAATGTACTAAAGAATTTAAACCTTGAAATTTTGTACAACTGTGGAAAATTCATTGTGCTAGTCACGTTCAAGAAGATTCAATTATCTAGGTCAGATTTGTTGATAGTTAAACAGCTTGTGAAAGAGAACTGTGATTAATTTTCATTTTTAAACAAATTTTCCAGGAAACTCAATATGGCATTTAAAAAAAAAAAAAAAAAAAC